CTACACCACTGCAGACGTAGGGACCACCGAGGACTACACCACTGCCAACGTAGGGACCACCGAGGACTACACCACTGCCAATGTGGGGACAACCAAGGACTACACCACTGCAGAGGACTACAGCACTGCAGACATAGGGACCACCGAGGACTACACCACTGCCAATGTGGGGACAACCAAGGACTACACCACTGCAGAGGACTACAGCACTGCAGATCTGGGGACCACCGAGGACTACACCACTGCAGACCCGGGGACCACCGAGGGCTATACCACTGCAGATGTAGGGACCACCAAGGACTACACCACTGCCAACGTGGGGACCACCGAGGACTACATTACTGCAGACATGGGAAACACAGAGGACTATACCATGGCCAACCCGGGGACCACGGAGGACCATACCACTGCAGACGTGGGGAACACCGAGGACTATCCCACTGCAGACCTAGGGACCACGGAGGACCATACCACTGCAGACGTGGGGACCACTGAGGCCCATACCACTGCAGACCCGGGGACCACCGAGGACTATACTACTGTGGACCCGGAGACCACAGAAGACCATACCACTGCAGACCTGGGGACCAACAATGACCATACCACTGCAGAGGTGGGGACCACTGAAGACTCTTTTACTGCAGACCCGGGGACCACCAAACACTACACCAGTAAACATCCAGACACTCGCCCTGAGGGAACAGATTCAGTAACCTCAGTGAAACCCACTAGGCGGCTGACACCTATCGGAATCATCCTCATCTCCCTGGCCGCCACCACAGTGGCAGTTTCACTCTTTGTTGGACTTGGCTTCTTTGTGGTGAGTATTGGCCCAGGAATGTGAAGGTCATTATAGGAAAAAGGGTATCTGAGAAGAGGATGTGGGCATGAGGAGTTGAGGCATGATAAATTGTCAGAGGTGAGGAAACCTACATAAAGCTTTGGAAAGACAGAGGGAGGTAGATGGGGAGAAAGGAGAGGAGCAAGAAGCATAAAAAATGAGGACAGAACTAAGGAAGAGAGTAAGGTGTTAGAGACAGAGGGGGACATAAAGAAAGAGGGAAGGGGAAGAGAGTATGGAGGAAGATAAAGCAGACAGAAAAAGGAAAATAAAAGCACAAATACAGTAAGGCATGGTGAGAGTTAGAAAAAGGCATAAACCATTATGTATAAATAGATATAAAAATTTGGAAATTTTCATAAAAATACAAGAAATTGGTGGTAAGAGGAAAGGATGAAATAGAAACATTTTGAATGGCCCACTCATCTCAAAAACAATGTTATTTTGTTTTGATTACCACCCACTCTGAAATTCTGCAGGAGATTTTTTAAAACCAGGTTTGAGTAGATTTTTATGAGCATGGCTACTCTATATTGGAGAGACAATTGGTGAGAGCTCTCACAGTGGGGCTCTAGGTATGTTTTGTCCTCTGAGGGGCTCCATTGTTTCTACAAGAGAAGATAAAGACTCTATGCCAGCCTTGTTGCTTGCTCGTATTGACTTTTGGTCTAAGACCTAAGCCTTCAAGGTCTGACTTCTGCTGGATAGGGAAGGCCTGGTCCTTTTTGGCCATCCTGACCTAAGAATTAAGTTCCCATTGAAATCTTAACAAGTGGCAGCTTACATGAGGAGCTAGCTCACGCAGGTCATTAAGCCTCATTAAGTCTTTTGGTCATTGATGCTACTGTGCACTGACCTCTGCCCCAAGAGGCAAACCCATAGCTTGGGATCAATTTGTAAGTATGATGTAAGCCAAAAAGAATGCATTATTCAGTTGGGGTGTTCATGTTTAATTCCACCAGAATCACACTATGAAACTAGAACATTCTGATGTCACACTATGAAACTAGAACATTCTGATGAATGTCTGACAAGAGGAAAACGAGAATAATAGCCTGTATAAGTACTTGATACACATGTGAGTCACACTGAGTATTTACTGGTAGAGGGAGGACCCTCTTGACTTCACTGTTACACGAACAAGTGGATTTCTAATTATGTGGATCACTATGAAAATTCAGACACTCTTGCTCCAGGTTGGTAGATAGTTTCTGCCCTCCAACCCAGGCCTCTAAGAGCTGATACAGAGCAGTCACTAGCTATGGCACTTTCTTAACTTCTTATAAAGACTAAAAACAAGAGATGGTTCAAAAGGCTCAGAGTACAGGGAGTAAGAGGAAAATTTGTATTCTCAAACTTGCTAATTGTTATAAACATTTAACCAAAAAATGTTTAAAGGATAAGAATTATCTTATATCTATATTTTCATCTTACCCTCTAATTCGATTTATCAAAGTAGTTTTATTTTCCCTATGTGACTTCAAATTTTTTGGAAATTATGTACCTCTACAGGTAAGTGTCAAGCTCTAAAGAAAATGGCAAACTAGGAAGGAGTCATAGAGCTGGGAGCTGGGAATAGGAGCTTGGTAACTCACCACAAGAGAGGAACTCTCCTAAAACTAAACCACTTTTTTCTCCTCTAGAAAAATTGTTTCCTGCAGCCATTAAATCCACCCACCAGAGTTATCTATTTTCCCCATGCCATGGACTGGAGTGCACCATGAAGCAGATTCCGGCAGTAACTATAATGGGTTCTAGAGCAAATTAGACTGCCATCAGTCTCTGCAAAACCATGAAGCATGATAGGCGTCCTCAGACCTCCACTCTTTTCCCCCATTCCCGAGCCCTGAGAAAGGGCTTTAGATGAGAAACTTAGCTGGCTCTAGGAATAAGCACATCAGGGACACCCAGAAGGTTGCCTGTCTGCTCTGAGTATCCCCTAATTCTGTCTGGCCATATTTGCTTCCTCAGGAAAATTGCCTTAACCTATCTACCAGGTTTAATCATGAAAACTATTTGAGGGAGACAGACACAACTCAGGTATAAGAGATACTCATTAATTCTGATCAAAGAAATAAAGTAAATGTTTGTGTCTTTCTGTGTAGGTCTTATATCTAAATTCATTCATTTAACAAAATGGTGGAGTGTCCAACATGGGGCAAACACTCTAACCATTTCTGTCTGCCCAATCTGAATCTGTGTACTTGAAGAATATAGTATTCTGGTCTCTCAAGAGTACTACTCCCAAGTCCTCTCCACACCCAGGCCAAAGGATTATGTTTATAAGATGTAGCTAATTGGTCATTCAACAAATATCCAGTGAGCACCTACAGTAGGGACAGGCCACTGTAGCAAATACCTGAGTTTCATCTCTGCCATAGTGTGAAATGAAGGGCAAAGTCTGACCCGACCTCTGACTTGGTAGAATATCTATGCCTATATGAGTCACTCAGGGAAGAATTTCTTTCATGAAAAAGCCTAGAAATGATGCTTAAGATGACTAAGACCACAGACAAGGCCCAAGTATCAAAGATAACAGCTCCCTGAGGAGTTTAGGACAAAAAGCAAAGAGTAAAGATATTTGAAGATGGTTGATTTTTTGTTGCCCACCCAGCCACTATTGCCAGCATCACTGCAACCTTTTCATAATGGAATTATAGTGTTATGGTCTAGAATCAGAAACATAGAGTAAATTACTAAACTCTAGCTTAAGTCTGTTTCCAAAATTCACATAATGGCTATTATTCAAGTGTTGTCACTACCATTTGAGTAAGACACAAATTGCTTACTAGATAATGCTCAACACAGACGGTACACTGATGATTTTTATGAGATGACCATGGATATGTTTGGTCTATCAGTGTACTAGGGCACCAAGAAGCTAAAAGACTCAGAGATTCATCACCAGCTAGCTCAGTACTGTTGGAGCAAGTTCCCTAACTTCTCAGAGCCTCTTCCAATCTTTAACATGAAAAAACTTATTTAATAAATAATTATGTGTTACTTATTCAGTCATTTCTGAAAATGTTAAGACAGTCCTTGTTCTGGGGGGCCTGGGTGGCTCAGCTGTTAAGCGACTGCCTTTGGCTCAGATCATGATTTCTGGGATCGAGCCCCACATCAGGCTCCCTGCTCAGCAGGAAGCCTGCTTTTCCCTCTCCCACTCCCCCTGCTTGTGTTTCCTCTCTCACTGTGTCTCTCTGTCAAATAAATAAAATCTTAAAAAAAAAAAAAGAACAGTCCTCATTCTATTCTTGTTAGTCTGTGACAATTGTAAAGTCTGATCATGCTTATTAATTTTATGTTGGTTTTACATCGGTCATAATAGGATCCAGAAAATGCTTACATTATGAGGATTTTAAAAATTACCACCTAAAGAAAACATATGTGGCAGAAATACCTATTTGCTATCCAAATTCCATTCTTTGTTTCATACTTGGGGAACCCAAGTTTGTGTTGGGTGGCAATGTTCCCATTTCCCAGTGTCCATTGCAGCCAAGTGTGGAGATGAGATATGGTTCTGGCCAATGAAATGCAGGCAGAAGCCTCTGGGGCCATGTTCCCCCTAAAATGAAATGGCAGACCGTGACCAGGAGAAAACACTTCACCCCTTCAGCCTTCACTCTTCTTTTCACCTGAAATATAAGTATGAGACCTAGAGATGCAGCAAGCATACTGAGACCAAGAGGAGACATGTGAGAAGGTGAAGGCTGTCATGCTGAGAGTGGAGTAAAGAAATCATTTGGGTCCCAGGTGGTGCTGTTGCGGCCTTGTTGCTGCTCCAGACCCTTCATATATGAGACAAGTAATGTGCTGCAGCTTAGTTAGATGGTATTCTGTAATTCCAGCAAATGGAATCCTAACTGGTATGACATGCTTTTAAAATATCATAAAGAACATGTGGACTACCATGGCCCCCATTTCAGGAAACACCATGGTAGGTCCTTTCTAGGCTAAGTGCTAAAGCATATTATACTCATTATGACACTTATGATTTGTTGTATGTATCTATGCATGCCATCTCTTTAGATATACAACTTGTCCTTTCATGTGAGTCCAGCCCCACTCAGCTAATCCTCCTGTTTTCTTTATAAAGTCCAGTGTGGAGAAGAATTCTTTAGGTATTGTTTAGGAGTGGTACCAAATCCAGTTGACCCCAACTGGCACATGCTGTTACTATGCTGCCCAGATTAAGAAGACCAGGCAAGCACACACCTTACAGAATTGTGCCTGAACAGGATTTATGCCTGGTTTGGCAAGCCACTCCTCATAAAAATGTGTGTGAATGCACATTCTGGTCCCATCACCTTCCTTTGCAAACAAGAATACTTGTGAAGTTATCCAGCAATAATGACTCAACATCCCCCCCTACAGAAGTATTGTTTGATAACTTAGTGAACACATAATTGTTTTTTAAATCTAGTCATGACCATTCCTGTGATTTACCTACAAGTCCTCTCTGTAGTCTCTCTATATTTATTTCTTTTATGGAACTGATCACAAGCTGAACTTATCTTTACTTGTGTTTTAATTTATTTATCCCATCTCTATCTCCTTTCACTAGAATCTTAGTTCTTTGAGAATAAGGATCTTGAGAGCAATACATGGAAAGATTAAGCATTCAGTAATCTGTGCTTCATTAGTCCTAAGATGCACATTTTCCCCCATTGCATATAGTTTAAAATGGAGTTTAAAATGGAAAAGTGTCTTACCACTGATGGCATGTCATAGTTTAGTTGGTGGCACTTTTTCTTTCTTAGTGGGACATGTGGTGCATATTGAATTCAGTATCATCCTAGATTTGATGATTTATTTTGGAATAAATAAATGAAAGTATACTTTCTTTTGGTGTTATTTCTTCAGTTTTCACCTTGTTTGGAAACAAATTAAAATTCCTTTATAAGCATCTAGTATGTGCTGGGAATTCTTTTGAGAACAAAGATGGCAGACTAACAGATGTGAACAACATAACCCTTGCCTCAAAGAAAAGAAAATCAACAAAT